AAGGCAGAACAGATTAAAATATTCTGCAGATGGCATAGGGAATTATTTGCTTTATTTCTAACAAAAGTGTGGATAAACACTTGAGAAACAGCAGGCCCTCTAATGGGGGATAAGGAAATAGCCTAAAGACCGGCCAAAATGTCACAATTGCTCAATATTCAACAACAGCGTATGTTACAGACACGCTCCTTTCCATTACAGGGTGCATAAATCAAAAACCATTTTGTATATTTAGAGACTTATGGAAAAACAACACTGAGCCACAAAAAGGGTAACAGCATGATAACATAGGAGGAAAATGAGGTATAATGGCAAAATAAGTAAGACGCAGATGAACTGAAGAAACATTTTGTTTTTGTTTTTATGTAGCACCAAAACATATATGACTAATGTGTTACCAGGACTCATAAGGGAAATAGATAACATTAACACTGTATTGTGCCACGCATGTCCTAAGAGATTTAAACTGTGGGCTCGCAAGAGACTGGTTATCTCATCAAACATTAATATTCAGATGAAATTTGGGAATGAAAAAAAAAAAGAAACAAACAAAAATAATAATGAAGTTGCATATCCTCTGCAGGACACTGTAAACCAACTCCAGCATTGCTGGCTGTTTGGGGTTTTACCAGGTAATGTAAACGTTCAATAGTTTGCCACTGCTTTCTCCATACCATTGAAATCAATGCAAAGTGGCCTGCTGCCAAGTCAAGAAACTCCGGTGTTACGGTGCAAACATACTGCGATGGTAACATCTAAGCCACAGATGGTAACAACCGATCATGAACATACTTCATTCTTTTTTCGTCAACATCTCAGTTGCATGAGATGCCGTGGTGTCAATGACTCCTTCAGTCCATCTTCTGCTTGGTCTTTCCCTGCCTCCTGGTGTTTTGATTTTCAGGTTGTACACTCTTGCTACTGGCATCGTTGGTTTCATTCTCATTAGACGAACATACCATTTCATTCTGTTTTAAGAATTTCAGATCTGCAGATCGTTGGTGACTTCTGCTACCATCAATGATGAACTGCATTTCTAATGTCGGACTGTTTGTGTTAGCACTTCAGATGGCTACCGTATGCTTTAATGCGAGTGTATGCTAGATATGCTGAGACAGTCAATCTTTCCACAAGGGACTGTGATAAACATTTGTGTGTTTTTCGTTGGCACAGAGTGGAGCAAAGATGGGGTGACCCATTTGCTATGAAGCTGAAACTAAGACTACCATTTCATTCTGTTTTTCAATAAATTTGACGATGGGTGTTGTTCCAACAGTTCTTGTGATAACGTCGTTTCTCACTCGATCTCTACTGATTTTATTCACAGCCATTCTAAAACATCATCTCACAAGTGGATAGTTTTTTTCTCATGTTCTTTTGTCAGTGTCCAAGCCTGTCATTGCTAACCTAAAGTTGGTATAAATATTATATTTGTAATGTGTCTTTTTTGTATTGTATGTGAAGATGCTTCCCAGGTATTTAAATTCTTGCACTTATTTTAGACTTTGATCTTTAAGTAGATGGTTTGTTGCTCTCTACATATTCTTCATGCGATGCTCAAGGCAATTGTGTAGTTAGTTTATGTGGTCCTGCAGCTGTTTACTTTCACTGTGAAATATGCCCTGATCATCAGCAAAAAGCAGTTCATTGAAGACCTCCTGTTTATCGAGATCTGGTGGTGTTGTGTCTATTTTATTAAAAGGGTCCATAAATATTATAAAAAGTAAAGGCGAAGAAACATACCCTTGCCTTACTTATGTTACTGGAAACCAGTCTGTGAGACCAGCTCTTGTTCCGATGGCACTTTCACTTTCTCTATAAACAGCTCTTACACAATCTAGCACTGTTCCATTTATACCAGTTTTCAAGGACATCCCATAGTGAATCTCTGTTTACTCTTGTCAAAAGTCTTTTCTTGATCTACAAAAGTTTTGTTCATTTGGTGTCTGTGTTTTATTGCCCCCTCCCCCACTAATTTGCCTTGCGGCAAAAATAGTGTCAGTACACCATCTTCCTTTCCTGAATCCAACCTGTGCTTGGCTCAGAATCAGTTCTACAACAGATCTAATTTGTTGTTCCAGAATCTTGGTAAACATTTTACCTATGTGGCTCAAAAAGGAGGTGCCTCTATAAGTGTTACAATCTCGCTTATTGCATTTTCTTTTCCATTTGGTACTATAATATCTTTTTGCTAGTCTACTGGTACAGTTCTTTCATTCCAGGCCTTCCTAAATATATGGAGTGGCCTGGTGACTTCACTTTCTCCACAGACCCGTATTGCCTCAGCTGTAATTCCATCAACACCAGTGGCCATTTTTTGTGGACTGCACCTGACTGCTTCTCAGACGTCTTGTTCAGTTATTCCAGGCATACAACAACAAAAACATTAGTATCAGTTAGTTTAGTAAGTATACAGGCAAGAGAAGAAAGCAAGATTTAAATTTATATCTAATAATAAATGTACGATGCTGGCATTCTAACTAAACACCCCCCCCCCCCCCAATCACTTTACACACACCACACACACACACACAAGCAAATAAAGTCCGAAGGAAATGTGTCAACATTTGTTTAGTGAAGCGTGTGGGGAAAAAACTGCTATCTGCTTGTATCATTGGACCATAAATTGTGGCGCGCATAGGCAATCACAGTTCAAACTTTGCACCAAACTGGTTGACCTGGCATGCAAAGAAGTCGACCTTAAGATTTTTAGCTAAAAATTCAAGAACTACATCTAACGTATAGGTAGACATAAGGTTGGCAGTGGCCCAAAAGGCAACAATGAAATATGTCCCTTCATCAAACAAGTTTAAGGAGAAATATTTGTTGTAGTCTGCTGAAGTTACAGTAAGTGGTGTACAGCAATTGTTATCAGCACTGTCCCACCTGTTTCAACTTAGGCATTAAAGATTATGTTTTATACTCACCATAAAAGTCGACCCCCTAGTTTCAGAAATATCTCTTTGTATGAAAACTTAACTTATACGCCACGATTTATGGTCATCAAAACAACAATCAATGCCACATTCTCACTACTACTGATTTATGATGTGTAATATGGTCCAAGGTGTAAGTACATTACAACAGTAATACTGGAAAAGGCAACTGTGCAGATAAAAATGTAAGTGTTCACAAACTGTCATGTACTAATTAAATTGGCTGGTGCCAGGAGTAAAAACGTGAGAAACTTGTCAAATATATCTTGATATAAAAAATACTGGCAAATACTCCAAAAGGAATATATATTTGAGAAATGTTATTAAATGCATTGGTCCGATATCTTTCTGCTAAAATCTACCATGCAGCTTGTGTATACATGTAAAACTAAGATATATTACTTTGTAACATCGTTGCATTGCAGATAAATAAAAGTACCAAAGCTCGTGATTTGAATCACATTCTAAGAACCTTTAACCAATCTATAAAAAAAAAAAGATCTGCAAATCTTTCCTTAAAAAAATTGCTTTTGTGGTAACTGAACAAAAAAACCGCTGCTACATCAATTTAAGCAAGTCAAACCATACAATACCAGATTCATGAAAACAATCATCTTTAACAGTAGGAGTCATTAACTCCTTGAGTACCAAGCAACTCGCTGGTTGGTTTTAATTGACAAATGGTACAGTTTCTGGAGAACGAGGAAGAGGACAACCTCCATAAATGTGGATACAAGACACTGAAGATTCTACAAAAGCCCGCCGGGGCGGAGAACTGGCCAGAGAAAGACATAATCTACTTTTCTGAAAGTGTCACTCTTTAACTTGTGAAATAATCTTTTCTGCCTCAATTCTGATTTTAACTTCCCTAATCCCAGTGCTATCATTTTAACTTCCCTAATCCTAGTGCTATAATTTTAACTTCCCCAATCCCACAGTGCTATAATTTTAACTTCCCTAATCCCAGTGCTATAATTTTAACTTCCCCAATCCCACAGAGCTATAATTTTAACTTCCCTAATCCCAGTGCTATAGTTTCAACTCTTCAGACCTCATATACAGGTTGTAAACCACCACCAGGCTCAAACTGGTGGTGACCTACCCATACCCTCTTCCTGCTCATCCTATTTACAGCATAGCTGGGATATTTGCACCTTACAGTCGGTACATCCAACTTTATCTGGCATTTTAAAAAATAATCTGGTCTAGCCTTTCTAGTTCTTTGGGACAAGTGCAGCTCCATATGTATGGTTACTTCATATCCCATCCAGGGTAGCCGCATGCAGCTCTGTCGACCCTCAAGTGTAAGCAGGGGCAGAGCATGGGCATTTCAACTGTAAAAGGAGGCTTCCATAAATGTAGAGCTGATACAAGGCGCTCTGGTGAAATGCTCACCCAAGGAATTGCACATGATTGCTTAACCTCACACCCATAAACTGAGGGCCATCCTAGAAACAGGTTCTCCACAAGGGGCCTGGCTCAAGTAGATAGTATCCATTTCCCTTCCAAGTCTAGGTGGTGAGGCACCAACAGTCCGCACACAATTATGGTAAATCTGTAAAAATGGATGTGCAAACAACACTAAAGTCCTGGGAAAAAACCAAAGTCAAACATGGATGAACAATATGTATTTTCAACCTGAGTGCACAGTCGGTGAACGCAGAAGAAGAAAACACTGGTTACATAAAGTAATCATTTCTTAGAAGAGAATTAAATAACATAACACCTGCTTGGTTCTGAAAGAGTTAGGGAAACAATGTTTTCCCACACACACTTAAACTACCTATCTGATACAAAGAATCCAAATGCTGTAACAGCAAGATTCCTGACTAGACAACAGTGTCGTTTAAATTATTGTTATCAGTATTAACAGTTCTCACTATCAACAAAAACAGTACTGGAAGATACACGTGTTTACAGTACAATAATACAGGAACATAATAATAATAATGCAACCGCAATGCTAACAAATGATGCTGTTGTCTTTTGAATCCTCCATCTCCCATAAATAGTGTATGAAACAATCTTCTAAGTTGAATATCAGTAATAAGGGTCCCTGGCTATTCAGTTTGAGTAAACATCATCAGCCGATGAAAGGACATCTAAGACTCCTCCAACAAAGTTGAGGCTTCCTGTTGCTAATACCTGAATATGATCTGCCTCACTGAGGAAAGAAGGAATAGTTTGTGGAATGGCTTGCGGGTCTTGTACCTGCACTTTAGGATCTCTCCCTTGGCAGGCCCACGACAGAGCCTCAATGATACATGGAAATATGACGGCTGGCCTGACGTAGATGTCTGTTGAGGATAGCTGCTCCAGGCTGGGGTTGCTTTCCAGCAGCTTGTCCAGGTTGTCGATATCCCCCAGGAGGTTGGCATTGGCAATAAGACTTGGTTCGATGACGTAATTGAGCATGTCTCCCACAGTGGCTGGGAGGTCTCCGTTGGGTAACAGCCTGTCTGTGCAATCAGCCTCTTCACAGTTTTCCACAGACATTTTGTCACTAACAATGGACATCATATCACTGCGGTCAGACTCGGACAAGACAGATGACTTTTCACTCTCCCCGTCGCTATTTTTATCTATGGCCTGACTGGCGGGTTGGACCATTCCATTATCTGGCCATCCAGCTTTGAGCAGACGGAGATTGTTTCTCTCTCTCTCAGTGGACGCCATTAGCTTTTCCCAAGCAAGCATGTTTCTAACCACGGTTTCACTCTGAACTTTTGGGTCCAGCTTTTTTAACTGTAGATCTGTCATGTAAAAGAAGACAAATTCATGTTTTTTTTCAGTGTCTATTTCAAACATGGGAACTCAACATACACAATTCGTAAAAGTGCTGAAACTAACAACAGGTTTTTAAAAAGTCACATGGAAATAACATTGCTCGCTCATGAAAACTAACGTAAAAAGTAAAGGACCAAAACAATTATTGCGGGTTTGATTGGATTAAGGTCAGGCCCAACACACTTAAAAATATAAAGATCTTTGATTTCTGACCCTTTCCTTCAACCAGACAAGGGTGAGCCACCCAGACAGAACCCACAATATCTGTGGTAACAAGTTTCCCAGACAGTCATGAACTTCAAGTGACACATCTTCCACAACTCCTAAGTGGCTCCCAAATGTTTACCCCACAACCTGTCAATACAATATTAATGCTTGTGTGAACCCATGCTTCACAAACTCTGGCTTCCTCAACTCTTTACAAACCAAACCACAGTAACTTTCGTATACAACAAGCAGTTTTGTAGTGTCCTAAAGCCGAACAACAACAAAAAAAACAACAACAAAAAAAAAAAAAAACCAAAATACAGGAAATTATTTACCAAGTGATCAATTAGAACTTTTGTAGGAACAAAATTATGCTGCATGTGAAATCAACTTTGCGAGCATTCTATCAATCAAATTACTAAGTAAAAATATGTTTTTGTTAAATGAAATCAATCATGATTTTAGCAATTGGTTCAACTAAAGAGTTTAAGAGCATTATTGCCTGCATCTATCTGAATTTAGGCATGTCAAACAAAGGGGTTTTTAATAATTATGGCATATACTGGTTTATTACAACCAGATAGGAGGAGTTAGCACAGTGATTAGATGCTCTCTTGCCAATCCAAAGGTCTTAGGTTGACATCGGCAATGCCTAAAATGAATAACTGGAAGTAAAACTGGCTGGTATGAGGGTGACCACATCACACATAAAGTACGATTGAGCTATACAAATACTGGGCTGGCACTATAAACCAAATGTGGTGTGAAAAAACAATTTACTTACTTTATCATCAAAAGATACTAGGCACTAACTATAAGTTCTTCTTTGCATTTACCGACTTAAACTCCTGCAAAAAGTTCTGGTTGTTTATTCACCTCTGAACGACTTTAGTCTGTTCTGGAACTTAAGTGTTACACGCACACCTGTTTAACAGATCTGATTTAGGCGTATGTTGGTTCCCTTTCTCTCAAGCAGATGCACTCCAACTTCGAAGAAAGCTTCCAACTACTAGTCAACTCTTATGACATGCTTTTGGGTGGGCAATGGATCTATACTTGTTTTTCCCAAAATGGGTCCCAGAATCCGCATGAAGAAACATATAATACCCAGTTTTTCTTACCAGGTCGATTCCGAGAAGGAACGCTGACACCACAAATGGGCAGAACACCGCAGCATCAAACTCACAGTCCTACATGGGGTGGGGGGAAACAAACAATAACATATGAACCAGATGGTAAATTAACACAAATCAAATTGAGAAGATTTACCTCACTGTCGGGTTCTGGAGTCTCTTAACTATCTCTCTTCAACCTCTCTGGTAAAAGAATTCTCTGGTTGTTCGTCCACTTCTAGACTTCGGTTTTGTTCTAAAACTTGAATGTTGCATGCATATCCGTTTTTCATGTCGGATTTTCTGTATGCAGACTACTGATTACTCACCTCACCGACAAATGCACACTGACTTAAAAAAAATCCCTAATTAGTCGCATTTTGCGACATATTTGATAGGGAGCAGTGGGTCTATCCCCATACAGGGCCCCAAAAACCATATAAGCGATCTCTTTAACAATGAAATGCCTAATCCGTGTGGAGGAAATGCTAATCTACGCATGATCCGTGCCAGTATGTGCTTGCTGTGTTGGCCAGATTGCCTTGGCCTCTGCAATATATGAAGTTTCTGTTTGTTGTGCAGCCTTTGTTGGTATCTAGGTCAGCAGATGGCAAACAGAGCCCATGGAGAAAGTACTCTGGCAAAGGGTGGGGAGATAAGTATTTATATTACATTAACATGACAATCCATCCAGGCGAATTTATTCCTTGAAAACTGGCCTTAATTCCAAAGATGATGTTGGCACCTTCCACGATGTAAAGAAGAGCACTGAGAACACAACACAAGAGGTTTTGTTTGAATAGTGAGCTTTTGTTTTCCTCCCAAACTATTTTTTGTGAATCTGCTCATTGTTGTTGCTGCCTTGCCTGTCCTGATTTCTTGGTCCAGTGACAGTGGCTTCCAGGTTATCCCAGCTTAAATGAGTACCAGGTAATATCCTAGGAAATAAGGCAGGTCTTGACAACATTGCCCACTGAAGGTGATTGCTCTATAAGTATACAAGTCTAGCACCATACATCTGATGTGCCCCGTATGGATTCCAGGGCCACATTGTGGAGAAAACAAGCAACTGAACACTGCCTACCCAACAAGCATGTCCTAGGAGTCAACTAACTGAGGGCTTCCTTCAAAGTCAGAGTGCATCTGCTCGAGAGGCAAGGAACAACCAACTGCACATAAATTAGCCAGTAAAACTGATGTACATGCATAACTAAGGCCTTGGCAAAGGGTCAAATTCTAAATAACCAGGGCTTTTTGCTGGAGATTACAGCCAGTGAACAAAGAAGATATATCTGCTGTGCCAAAGGCGAGATTACGGTTCTTGACTTTAACATGGCGATGTTTAGTATTAAATAATACCTTAACTACAACCACCTTCACCGTGGCAGCATGGCTAAAGTAAATTTTTCTCTCCTTACCCACAAGCACGTGACCAAGCACAATCCCTAACATACCCGACAAAGATGCATTTCCCATTTGTGTATATTAGACTGTTTAATATTAAATCAGTCATAATGAAAAAATATATTTAAATGTCAAGAAATACTGACTTCATTCAGGATGAATGTGTAAAGTGATTAAATTACTACATAGCTCTATGAATAATTCTTCTGTGTGCGCCCTGCCACATCTACACCTTTCAGCCAAACATATTTGATTTCAGCAAATCCATCATTCATCACCTTTCCCACCATGCTTGTTGAGGTGCTGTAGGTACATTAAAATTGCTTCCCTTAATCGAGCTCCCGCACCATTAGGGGTTTTACAAGTAATTCAACATAAGCTGGGGGGTGGGGGAGGGGGTGTGTGTGTGGCGTGTGTGTGTGGGGGTGTGTGGGGGGTGTGTGTGGTGTGTGTGTGTGTGTGTGTGTGTGTGTGTGGAAAAAAAAAATAATAATGTAGACATGTGAAATGATGGACACAGCCCATTAAATGAATGTTTAAAACAGAACAAAAATCGGCAAGATGAAAAACAGACATTCATCTATCTATAAATTAAGATGACATTATTTTTTCTACAAAGTCAGACCTGCAGTGACAGAAACCCCATACCTTCATAGGATAGATCAGGACTTCAGGATCCCTCTCCGGCGCAGTGAAGAAGACCAAAACCCTCACTACCTTCCCACTGTAATGTATTAAAAACAAACAGAAATGATACAACACACCCCAACAATATAATTGTGTGACGACTAATGGTTCTAATACTAAGGATTATTTTTATTAAACTATTTTCTATTCTGAAGAAATTCTAACCATTTTGTGTTTGTCATTTCGGCTATTTTTGTTTTCCCCAATCTGCCATGACACTTGATATGACCGAAATATAGGAGCTTCTGAGACAAGATGCTGTTTATTAGCCAATCTTCCTTGATGTTTAATGTCAGTATTTCTTCTCTTCTTTGTCCATGGTATTCTAAGGATTTTTCTATAGCATTTCAGCTCAAAAGCCCCTAATTTCTTTCTTAATATTTTGAAACAGATACATAATATATTGTAAAGAAAACAATTTAAGTACAGGGGACTATCACACAACTGTTGCATCTGACATCAAGAGGTCAACACACTGCCTGCCACTTTTACTTCCCAGGGCATTCCTTGCTACCCATTTCAGACTGGGTCGACTTGGGCATCATGTGTCTATTAGTGCAGATTTGAACCCAAGACGGAAGGCAAGCATCAGATTAGTGTTCTCCAACCTTTAATATGGCATATATATAGTATATACTCGCCCGCCCCCAAAATTAAATACAATTTTTAAAAAGAAGGAATGTGTTCTTAATATATAACTGAATGCATGTTTTACAACATTATGTAGATTTTTAATGGTGGGCATACAAATAGCTTATGAAAACAAAAACGTCCTCAGCTTTTTATGTTGTTTAGTTTAAAACATATTTTAGTTTCACATTAACTGGGATAAATGTCCGTATAACCGACTGCTACAAGTACAAATGCATGCATTTTCAACCCCCCCCCCCCCCTTCTCGGGTTGCAAGTCATTGGTCTAGACACTTTACTATACTGTAGACACTATACTAAACTGTGTTCCAACAACACATAGACACAAAAGTATTCTGTTTCCAAAATACCATTATCTCATCATACTGGGGAAAAAAAAACATTTTAAAAAAAAGAAAAAAAAAAAAGAGACTTCACCTTAAATGTTTTCTTTCCTGATCTGCAGCTTCCCTGAACCAGGATGCACACAGCTGTAAAAATAACACACATGCTTGTAACAAACATCTACAAATGTTAACAACCTGCTTCATAAAAAAGGGATTATTGCTTACAAACATACAAGTAGAAACTAAAATAATATAGCATAAATATGACTAGAAAAAAACACTCTCTGTTACATTCCACGTACGACTGCATTCATCTCCCAACCTAATGTCTTAAAGTGTTGAAAACTTACTTCCATACTCTCCTTTGTATGAGCACCATCTAAGTAGTAAGTAACATTTTTTCTGGCAATGGTTTGAGCCCGACCAGGCCACTTACACGTTGACAATCCTGCAAGGCAGAAATTGTAAATAATCCACATATAAGATATCGCAAAAACAAGCCATATACAACACTTAACAAACCATACATAAGATATAACAAACTGAATATAACCAACAAAACAAGCAACATAACAAAAACAAGTATGCAGTGCTAGGAACAGATAAATGCAGGGCAACCCTTCATCATGCAGATGACCATTCTTAGGTGACACCTGAATTTTTGTTTTAACTGTTTTTTAAAAACAAACAAAATTGAATTCCAAAACAAAAATGTGATTTATTATTTTTTTTTTAACTTTATTGTCTGGGTAATATTTTTGAAATAAATTCCTTAATAACTGACGGATCCAACTAAATCTATTAATTTTGGGTACATTGGTGGACTGAATAAATATTGTCTTTTAAAAAGTGGATTACATTTGTTTTAAATTATTGAATAAATGTTTAAAAGTTAACACTAAAAAAAAAATGGAGCTTTTTCTTGATTTTAGTGGCTCTCTTAGCCTGTATTTGCAACAAGAAAATTATGCTGGCATCTGCCCACAAAGAGACATGGTTCCTGAATGATTCTTAGTTATGGTGACCTATAGCCCCATTGTGGGAAATAGAAAAAAAAGATTAGACAAACAAGCATGATGTAAAAGGAAACTAGTGTTTTGCTGAAATAACATGTGTTCAGCTCAAGGAGCCCTATATCACAGCCTAGTGTTAAACCCCAACAGAACACTTGCAATAGCAAATGTAGAAGGTAAGTCCCATGAGGTCAAGTAAAGGTGCCTTTTCCACGCTTTTAGATGTACTGGGGGTACAAGGCTAGACCTAGATTTTGTAGACTAATCAGCTCTCGGTGGGTGATGTGGACAGCATCACACCCACCGCCTTTACTTCCCAGGATAACATCTGGTACCCACTCAAGGCTGGGTTGACCTGGGAGTCAAGGTCATTTATGGAGAGAAAAAAGTCTGGCAGGCGGGCGTCTAGCTGCCAACACCATGGCGACTCCAAAGTCCCATTAGACATGGATGAATTCTCTGCAACATGTCTGACAATACTGAAGCTGGTGAAATGTGCAATGGTGATCTAGATAGACAATGGGTGGTGAGATAAGCAAGGCAAGGTAGGAAGCATTGTCACTGTATATTTATATATATATATATATATATATATATATATATATATATATATATGATTCTGACAGAAAAAAAGAAGTGGTAATATGAGGCCCTCCTCACCTCAGGTACACAACAATGCAGTACAAAGGTGGATGATAATACAAATGATCAGTAATGCTGAAAAAAAATTATATTCTGTAATTATTTCAACTGCAAAACTAATATCAAATGATTCAACAGTACATTTTATGAGGGCTTTTAGAATATGACTACGCAAGGTAAACCCGTTGCTATCCATCACTCACAGCAAATGTTGTAAAGTACAGGTCTTGTAAGACACTGCTTATAAACAAATCAGTTACCCCCATACATCCCACCTTGCCACATGCACAGTTAACTCTACATTTATGCATCTTTTCGTACACTGTTATATCAAACATTCTGTCTTCCGTCAGTATTGGTTCACTGATGGTATTATTCATCTTAACTGTTGCCACAACCGATGCTTTTGAAGCCAATACAAATTCTCTGCAGCAAACAAATTTTCAAACTTACCTCGGATGGTAGCTTCATCCAAGTGTGTACATGTCACTCTAGGAATTTCATCTACAGTAGTATCTTCTTGCACCGCCACCATTTCATCTGATGATTAAAACAACTTGTGTAGGACAGATTCTGTCTAAAGTCAAAATATATGCAATGTCAAACATCCTCCATACTTCATCTGTATGGCAGCAGTCCCAAAGTAACACTTTCAATAAAGGAACATGCTGAGTGTTGATTTATAAATAATGTAACTGTCTTCTAGTGACAGAAGAGTTCAATTCTTAAATAGCAAACAAACAAATCCAGAAGCAAGTGTCATTTCACCACTACTGACTGTTCCATTGAGGGGGAGAAGAAGAATGAATTCTTTGACAAACTGCAATTCAATGTTTTAAACAAATAAGATTACGAATTCACAAGTTAAAAAGCAGCATATAATGCTTTCGGTCTCAAATAAAACACTAAGTGGGAAGATTCATTGTTTGTGCATTATTATATGTACCACGTTAGGTGTCAGCACACCACAGATATCTGGCCATAAAAGAGCATATGCCTGTTTTATGTATGGGATGTGCTCAAGCTTTTTTTTTTTTTGGTGGTCATTGCTGTCCACCTCACATAGCTTGTGCAACTCTCTGAGACTGAAAGATATGACTTGTTAAGTCAGTGTAATGTCTTATGGTCTCTAATGGTTTTAATCAACAAAATATACACAGAAAATCCTAAAGAAATAACTTTAAAACAATCCAAAGAATTCTTTCTCACTGAGCATTTTATAGTCTACAAATGGAAGGTCAAGTGCAAATAGATCATTATGGCCTGGAAGAGAATGGTACAGCAAGCAGCAACACTCTACATTCAGGGAAAAGGTGAGGCAGATATGTAGTAAGCTGCTAGTACTAAAGCACTGAACTAACTGCTGAAGATAAGGACGGAAAGCTATCGGCACTGAGTTGTGATGTTGAACTAATTTGATACAGGGCGGCAGTCAGGGACAGCAGAAACCAATAGCCAACATACATACACATTTAGTTCAGGTAATGCATAACACCCCAGAAACCACGCCACCAGTGCCAAAAACAAGTAGCTGCACAAGAGATCTGTAGCATGCCGCCAATATGCAATTAGTGCTCAAACCTGCTGTAGTTGCATATGCAATTAATCAAACCATCAGTTATCTGGCCGCCAGCCACCTGCAAATGTCTGAATCTGCACTTCACAACACAATTCAAGTTGGGCAGTCGAAAAAGTATTCCAAATGACAGCCACAGATCAAAATATCACACCATGGACTCAACAGCATCTGGACAACGAAACTACATCCTTTCAAATGGCCTGGCTAACTATTGCCATAAGCAAACACTTGCTACCATTAAAACAGTAAGCCTGCCAACGGAAAGGAAGTCAATTCATGGTAGTGTCGTGGTTTAAAATAGTGCATGTTAGTCCAGAGGGTTGGGTCTGAATTTGTAACAGGCTGAATACAACTGATCTAGGTATCCCAGGTTAATCTCTCTTAGAGGCCTAAAACGGATACAGGAAAATGTCTAGGGAGGTAAAGATGGTCAATGTGATATTGACTACATCACACATATATCTATATTGCTCTGCTTGCAGTCCAATACTTGTATGTGTCAATACCACTACAAGAAGTAACAGGGTTACTAGTACTAGCTTTAGAGAAAAAGTTGGAATAAGACCATGTCTGAATTATACTGATAAATGATGAAATAGTTCAGCCATCTAGTGAGAATGCAGCCTGATCAAACTGCATATAAAATTATTTGTTTAACCCCCAAAACATCTGGCAGGAAGACGAGGGAAGATGAAGCAAGGACGAATAAATGGTGTAGCTGTATAATCTGCAAAAAAAGATGAACAAATCCATTGCCCAAGAGGTGCAAGACAAACACAGAAAACCACGGCAGAGCTACAACTTGGCATCAGTGAGGTGACAAAAGAAAGAAGTCACTACAAAATGCACTGACAAAGATTAACATATAAACAAGGAGAAAAATATGTACAGCATATTTAGTATTGACCGAGACAACTTACTTTTGAATTGGTATGCCTCCCACATGTGAAACAGTTGGATGGCTAATGCTGCATTGTGTCTCTGCTTATCTCCTGCAATGCTGAGGTTAAAGTTGTACTTTCTTAACACCTCCTCTGACAAGGGATTGACTATGAAGAGAGGAGACTGGGGAAAGATAAATGCAGTCAAGATGTCAGTAGCCAATTAAAAACCTGTCCCCTCCTCTTGGAACTGTTCTTTGCACTGTCTGAAATATATTAGGGTTTGTCATCAGCTTGAATGCCCTAATATGTTTTGTGAAAATCAGATATTTACTTCATTGTGGTAATGTTGAACTGATTTAGTCAACACATCAAAGTAAACCAGGTAGGCATGACTTGTTTTCCCAGTAAGATCAACCAAACAGTATAAAAAACACATTTGAAGATAAGAACAAACTACACCACTAAATAAAGAGACCACATCAGCTACAGAGATTTGTCGGTGCAACTTAATGCAAAGAAAAAAAATGGTCCTGAATATTGAAGCTGATAGCCCTGTTACACATGATATGGCCATTTCTTAAAATTACATTCTTCTTCATCTTCATTCACAGTTACAAAAGTTAATGGCAAAATATACTGTGGTTTACAGCTGAGCTGTGATATCTGCGCCTTTCTAGTGATTCTTGAAATCTTCTTCGCATTCATGTCTGTAGACTCTGTCAGAAGGTTATGATATATGTCCACCACTGGCCTTTAGCCTCGTTCTAGAACCTGAGTTTTGTGTGCGCATCCATTTTACACATTTGACCTATTTGTATGCAGATTGTTGGTTCCTTGCCTCTCAGGCAGATGCACTCTTTAAGTTCCAAGGAAGTCCCTAATTAGTCAATTATGACATGCTTGTTGGGGAGGGGTCTATTTTTTGTTTTCCCCTACATTAGGGCAGGGGAGATGCAGATGCACTCCAATCCTGAAAGAAATACTCCTAATTAGAAAGTATACTTTTACGACATGTCTATTGAGACCCCCAAATTACCAAATCAGTTGTGGTAGGCAAGCATGACCGCCACGACAACTAAATAGCATTGATACTACGATGCCTTCATTACTGGGTCTTTGAGGTGCAATAGGGTGGTTGGCAGATTCTTTTGTCGCTAACTGTAAGCTACAACAACTGCCCAAAACACATTTTTAGCAAAAAACCATGCTTGTGTGTGTGTGTGGGGGGGTGTGGGGGTGTGTGTAAGGGGGGGGGTGTGTGTGTGTGGGGCGGGGTGTGTGGGGGGGGGGGGGTGTGTGTGTGGGGGGGTGTGTGTGTGATAGGAACCCACACTGAAATCTAGGCCTTAAATATTTATACTTCAAAAATGAATCGTAATCTTCACATAGAATTATTTACTACAAAAATCATCATACCTGGGTTTCTTTTGCCCTTTTTAATATGACTTGCATAGCAGAAGTACACTGGGGCGCTGTTATGGCAGGACAGTATTTCTATGGAAGCAAATCAAACAGTTAGGACACATATGCTTAGTTCACCTAACCCAAAGCATTCTGGGACTAAATTTATCAATAAGAGATCATTTTAGCTTTTCCAGGGTTGTATCAAGGCATAGGTTACATTGAGTTTGAAAGTATTGGGACAAAGAAACATACAAAAAAATACTGTACATGAAGACAACAAAAATATTCAAGAATAAAAGTATTTTTCAGGCTTTCTCCTTTATCATATCCTAAATGTTTTCTTCTCTTCTCAGTCTTTTCTGTCTGACTGCCACAACATGAGCGTACTGACAGGCAGTGCTGACATTAGTTAGGATTTATGTACGTGGAATTATTTCAATTTTTTCGTTCAATTGTGTATTTCTGATCTCCTGATGCATGAGAATCTAAAAAACTGACATTTCCTGTTAGGTCCAATTCCCTGTGAATGTTAATTTTTCGATTTGTCTGTTGTGACTTGTACACGAGATGCAAAGTGAACGGTACCGGTTGTTCCACATCTGCGCAAACATTTTTGAGGCAAGTATTTTAACACATTTATTTAGGGAGCTTTTCTTTGAGCTAAATGGCGTTTTTTTTTTGGGGCGAAGTCTCATAGGCTCACTGATAAAGGTCATGGCACGTCACCTGATAGATGTTATTTTCAAAAATGTTTTGTCTTGTTCATGTTTACTAATTATTTCTTTCATACATTATATATTTCATTTATTTTAAACAACGTAGACAAATGTTTAACAAATTCATTAGTGACTGTGTAAAGCAAGGCCATGACCTCCTTTTTTTTAGAGATGCCGGGGCGAAAGGGTTCATTATACTTTCTCCTATATTGCTAGCTATTTCTAGATGATACTCAACGAGTTAGGGAAAGGACAGGCGAACAAATTTCAACCAGGTTTCTGCTGGTGCTATCAAAAGGGGAACTACACTTGGCAACACTTCCAACATTAGAGTGTTGCTACCTGTGCCAGCAGAGACAAAGGTTCCTTCCTCAGGGGAAAAAGATGAGAAAGAGAAGAAATATGACATTCACAGTCTAAACAGATGGTGAGAAATTCTAGTCTGTGAACCCATTACTGTAGAGTGTGTTCTTTCAGAAAATGACAAAAACATTTTTACTGTCTTGCATAAGTCTCCTCACAAATGTATTTCCAAATTCTGTTCAATGGTAAACTGCTGCTGGTTAAAGTAAGTAAAGATCACTTTTCACGCCTTAGGGGTATCGCAGATTTGGGAAGAAAGCCCATATTTTTTCAGAACATTGGCACTAGGTGGGTAATGTGGTCAGCATACTACACTTCTCCAGGACAGCCATTCTAGGACCTATTTTAGGCTGGGTCGACCTGCGATGGACCATACCATGATAAAAATGTGCACAGCCAGCAGTGGGTTTCGATCACGGTGCATTGGAATTACGAGTCGGACTTGCAAGGCCTTAGCCAAGGATGCTGCTGCTGCTTGTGGTTAGTCTAGATAATTTGCTGAATTTTGTAACAAGATGTAATGTGTGCTGCTTACATGGTGAAATATGCATTGTATGTACTGACCTAATGGTTATTTGTTTTAATTAACTACATAAAGACTTTAACAAAGTTTTGACTACTTGCTAAAAATATTGGAAAATTAAAACCACCCATACAGCACAAGACAAACCAAGAACAAGACGGAAAGATAAGGTCAGAGAAAGTCTACAACAGTAAAATGTGTCTACGGTCAGGGTGGCCAGGAAAGCAAGAACCAGAGAACCTCATTTCTCTGACACCTAAAGAAGGTAATCACAGGTCCAACTTCACAGCAAATGGGTCAACACCGTAGCCACTCTGTTCCTGTGCCTATCACTGGCCTGTACAGCATAAACATGCAAGACAATGCTTGATTAGGGCGGGTGTAAAAAGTACCAGCATAAGCAATCAATAAGGAGCTGAAGAAAAAAGAAAGTAGGAAAATGTACGTACCTTGAATATCCCTGACTTTTGCCAGGCAATAGATTCTATGGTGTCTCCAAGATCATCTGTGTGCTCCAGACCGAGAGAGGAAATCGCACAAGCAATTGGATTACGAATAAAGTTTGTGCTGTCGGTCAAGCCCCCTATGCCCACTTCCATAATTGCAACATCCACGCCTTCATGGAGAAATATGTGAAGAGACAGAACTACATTGAAAGCAAAGTAGGCAGGCATGCCTTTTCCTTCTTCGATAGGATAACCAACCTGTAATTGGAGTAAAAGTGCCATGTAAAGTTACAGCATACAAACTATCACATATGTAGAAGTGCAATGTAAAGTTATAGCATACAAACTATCATATATGTACAAGTGTCCACAAAAAAAAAAAAAAGCCAATTTTTGTTGCCAAATATTTATATATGTGTGGGTCTATTATCCAACCAATTTTTGAAGGCAGCAAGTCCGTTATTCATCCTTTTACTTGTTCGTATAAATAAATTATCAATTTGATTAAAATAAGCAGGCATTCTTATATCAAGAGCTGTCAACAGCTCTGCTGCAGAGCTGAATCCGACTTTAATGTGGAAGTTAGAACCTCACTTACACTCAATCTGTCACAGAATATCTTATAAATAAATAAAAAGATTTGTCTCGTTTTTTTGCTATTTACATACTTTAAAAAGAAAAGCATGGCTGGTAAAAGAATACAGATGTTTATACTGTGAAAACAGTAATTAAAGCTGATATAAAATGTTCAACATTATACAGACACACTGTTTAGTGGTGAAAAAAGAGTATATGTCTTACACTGACTGCAACATTACCTGTTCTGTCTCTTTGAGCTTATTGTAGACTTTCCAAAAGTAATAGCAGTATTTTCTCCTTGCTGAGTGGCTTCCCGTTGACTCTGATCCTCTCTCTGACTTCAACCAGGTGTGGTGATGTGAACAGACCAGTCCGGTAGCCATGCTGACGGAGGATACTCTCAGTGAAAGCGCTCGTGGAACCTTTGCCCTTTGTTCCCGTTATATGGATCATACACAGCTTGTCTACTTCCTCATCCTGTTTGAAGAGGCACTAGAATGTAACTGACACAGTGCTGGGGTATTCTATAAGCACACAGAAAATATGATATTGCAACAAAGATAACATAAAACATCCACCCATATTATTAGAATCATCATATACAGTGGAACCTTGTTAACATGAATTAGCTTAAGAAGAACAATCGGTTAACATGAAAGCACAATTGTCATCCCTGCAGGGATTATTAACCCTAGTCAGCACATATTTTCTAAAATGAAGTCTGGCTTTTTGAGTCTGTTGAAATTTATGTTAACAAGATTTTACTGTCCAATCAACAGCCATACAAATGCTAAGTCCTAATCATCAAAGGTGTATCAGCAGGACCTAAAATGTACACGAGTACAAGGGATGTTACGGTTAAGCTGAAAGTTGCTGGTGAGGTAGAGATTTTGTCACTTTACCTCCCATTTTAACTCTCTCTTCAAATTATCTTACAATAGTATACAGCATGGGACCATTTTGACAATCACTGAATCAGGTGCCATCTCCACAATAAAGGTCGGTGAACAGATCTCAAACACTTTCTCATCCTGGCTGTACATTCTTTTCCCCTGAGGTTCACTGCTGCAGATAACACAAGCCTACCTTTATCTTTTTAATTGGCCTTATCTTTTCAGGAGGTAATTTCAAGTGTTTCAAGGTCTGCATGTTAATTATCTCTCTGCCGACTTCTTGGTCTGCTGCCTCATGAACTACTACCTATTCAACCTCTTTTTTTTTTTGTACACAGCCTGTGTCTGCTATCTTTTTAGATGTGTATACACTGCCATTCTTTTTATATGTTTATGCTGCCATTTTCCTATATGTATCCTGTTAATGTTTTACACACACACAAAATATCTTTACATCTTGAAAGTTATCTATGTAGTTAGAATCCCCAATCCTATCTTTTATTTCCTGTTAAAAAATCAATATTTTGCTTTCTTATAGAACTATTTTAATGCAGAAGCCTGGCTGTAAACTACTGTTGGATTTCTTGGTCTATTTTGTGTTTTGCTTCTTTTTTCCTATTAACATTACTTCTGTCTTTTCCAGGGTTGGTTCTCATATTATCAGTTTTACATTCTCCATTCACAGATGTCAGATGCCATTTCTTGGCTGTTTCTACCATCAAGGCCCGGTCATCAGTAAACAGTGAACCATTGATATTACTAATATGTGTTGCTATTAGGCTTATCCTTGCATGTACTGTCAATGTAGCTGATAAACAACTGCAGTGATAAGAAACCATCCTGTCTTACTCTAATTGTTACTGTGAACAGTTCAGATGCTTCCCGTTTTATTCAAACTGCACTTCTGCGTTCCCTATTTAAACTTGGGCACACATCGATGAGGTGTTTGTTTACTCCCTATCGAACCATTACGCCCCATAATGCCTTCCCCTGGTATATGAATGCCACAGAAAGGTTCTTATCGTATTTGGTGTTATTTTCTACGGTTAAAGTGTGAAGATTGCATTGTGACCTATTTCTAAAAAAAAAATCATAAACTATCAATAGCTCAGTAGTTGGTTTGATGGTGTGAAAAAACCTGTAACTAAGTTTATCCCAACCTAGGATTATGTAAAGGACCACATAAGGTTAGAAAGAGAATTTAATAGGCTTAAAGACAGTAGGCACCACTTATGATTAAATAAAAATGTGAGGAAGGTGACTGTAAAAATAGACCAGGAAGCACATAGGACTAGGTGGCATGTAAAACAATGTCAATACATAATTTATAATTTTTATTGTTTAAAAAAAAGGGAAGACAAGAACAGATCTAAAATGGATGTTACTGTCATGTCAGAGTTATGTTGGATGCTGCCCAAGTGACTAACCAATGAGACCTGTAGAAACAGGGGGTGGGGGATTCCACACCCATAAATTAGGCAAAGTGCTCAGTGGACGTGTTTTTAGTGTTCTCTTAAGGATGAATCTGTGTCAGGTCCAGCAAATCGGCAGTGGATTTAAGAGTTCACACAAATCTGCTCTAGAAACAATATATGAGATTAGAAAATCCATCAAACGTAACAACAATCAGGGCTCGAGAACAGGTCAGCCATCTCTCACTCATTGTAAACAAGTAAAATAGACAGAGAGATCGAAGCAAAGAATCCAACAATGTCGCAAACCAGCTTGCCCCAATTTTAAAACACCCTGCTGTCCCCTGTCCCGGCTGAGATAAAAAGACAAATTATAAATACAATCTTTATACCGACATTAGGTTATCAATGTCAGACTTGGACATTAACAAAAGAACACAAGAGAAGACTAACCACCTGTGAAATGAGATGTTTGAGAATGGCTGCGAATAAAACCAGAAGAGATTGAGTGAGAAACGATGTGATTACAAGAACTATTGGAAACATACCCATCGTTAAATTTTTTGAGAAGCAAAGAATGAAATGGTTTGGTCACCTAGTAAGAATGGAACCAACGATGCCAGCATCAAGAGCAAACAACATGAAAATCGAAACACCAAGAGGCAGGGGAAGACCAAGAAGAATATGGATTGAAGGAGTCACGGACAACTTGAGACTTCATAACATCACGGCATATAAAGCGAATGAGCGGCACAAGCAGATTTTGACAAAAGAAGAAGAAAAAAATAAGCTCAGTGGAAAAACTGTGTTGCGGACAGTGGAATGCTAACCTAACACATCATTCATAAGCGACTGTATGTTCGTAGTGGTAGACTTATTACCAAAACCAAGATAGGGGACAACACTCATACATTCACACGGGGGTAGCGAGGGGTGTTTTTAATATTACTTTGCAACGTTGCGGCATGGGGAAAAAAAATACTAAATGCTTAAAAATGCAGATAGTTCCAAAGCATATACGATACTGGTGTTCGCGTGTCAATTTTTTGGCACAAAAAAAAACACGCAGCAAAAGTCAAGTGTAAATACCTCAGCGCTAACTGTGACAATCACATTACATGCGCGTGTGTGGACGCGCGCGCGTTTAACTGCCTCTTTATGTCTAAATCGTTTAAATTAAAAAACGTCTTTAGTGGCTGGATCGAACAAAACAAAACTACAGTTGTTCTGTCTGAAAGCTAAGCTGAAAATAGACCGGCGGAAACTAAAGAGGCAAAAGGGGGGGGGGGGTGGCGGCGGACACTACAGCACTGTGTGGGTTTATAGATAAAGGGGTGGCAGACATGCATCCAGTGGCATCGTTGGCAGCCAGTCGAGACCAGTTTTGTGTCTGAATCGATATGTAGGGCGCTGCTAACAGACAACACACAGACGGCAACTAGGGTCACGACCTGCACGTGTTAAAACTAGCAACAATGACTAGACATTGGTCCCCTGCCACAGGTCAGGCTTGTCCAGCGGAAATTAAATTACACAACGTCGCATTTTTGTTTTCAGTGTGATCTGAATTTCACACAGCAGTCTGGCCTTTGTTCTGCGTGTGCCATTTCTGGATAACGCGAAATTTAATGCCGGAACAGAAAGTGAGCGGCAGTTACAGCGCGAGCAGACTCGGGGGCATGAAATGCACGGTTGAGTGAAGCTGAACGAGACAAAAGTGGAGTCCGGCGGGTGGGGCCACGCTAAAATTTATATTCTCGCTCCCGACAATCTCCAATGTCAGCAAAATGAATTTTGAGGATGTGGGTGAGTGGAAAGCCAGCTCCCAACAACCCCCTCCCCCCCCCCCCCCCCCCCACAAGCTGTGTTACGATCAATGGTAGACTGGCTGAGCCTGTAGTGCATCTGTGCAATCACCCCTTCCACCCCCCTTCCCCTTTGTGTGATTGATTTAACCACCAAACACATAATGCATAGATACATTTTAAAACAAACGACGGCAGGCAGCAACGGGAATGACAAAGTGATGGGTCGGTGACCCGCCACAACATCCCTCCAGGTCCAGACTGGCTCCCAAACAGCAGTCGGTCACGGTGACTGACATATTCGCTGCTGGAATGAGGATAAAATATTACAGACTGGATGGGGGGGGGGGGGGGGGGGGATATGAATGATTCTGCAGAGGCAGTTTTTTTTTTCTTCACAGAGGAGGAAATTGTGGTCCGACTCTGGACTTTGCCACGTACATGTGGAGAACATATCAGACACCAGTCTACGTCAACCCATTATAATATAATACAATAATGTCCCGGGTACTACACACCTCCAGCCATTTAGAGTGGCGCCGTAAGTGAGGTTTTAAGTTTCACAACGTCAAAGTCGCCTTAAGTACACTTTTTTAAAACGATTTTCATCTACGTGTATTTTGAAGGATGTTAAATGTCTACATCAAAGTGGTCAACATAAAGTATTACTTTTCACACTACAAAATATTTGCCACTTTGCTAAAGTGGGAGCCACCGCTGTGTAGCGGCTAGTTGCGCGCCTGCGGATCCGGAAGTTCGTACATGGGTTCAGTTCCGAACAGAGCTGGACTACTTTCAAAAATGAACTTGGCCCGCTGCTCAACCCATCCTTAAATTGGCACTAGGCAAAGCACCGTAAAGTAAAGGCGGCCGGTGTGATATTTATCACATCACCCATGGAGTGCTGACTGGATATCGCTCCAGCCCTATATGCCCAATTCACTTGAAGGTGTGGAAAAGGATCCTTTACTTCTTTAGATGACTTTAACGCACTGCCGAAGATACAAGGTTACAAGCGAGAAAGATGGGGGTAACACCAACACCAAGAAGTCTCAGAGCATGATGGAAATTCACTGCAGTCAGCCTCCACTGTGAAAAAGACACCTGATAGAGTTACCAGAAGTGAAAGATACAGCAGAACCATTTTAAAGTTATGTTAAGGCGGCTCATGTTAGAACACAGTAACATTGTAACCTGCTTGCATGTCATAGGAGGCCATTAGGAAGGTGACATGAGATTGGCTTTAGCTATCCCAAAAAAAAAGCTAGTTGAAAATTACACCAATCAAAAAGTACATAGATCTCAATGTTAAAGGTCTATGCTCTATCTGGAGGTAGAAGGAGAAGGAGTAGAAAATGAACATGTGATCGGGGTACAGTCTAGCATAATGTGCAGTCAGACAAGACTGCCAAATACCTTACTTGAATTAGGGAGACAGCACTAGCACGGTGACTGCTCCTGTGAGTGTGTAGGCCAAAGTGTATTATATAGCTGTTATTAGCAACAACAAATCACTGGCACTCTTAGCCTATAAGCATGACAACCACTGCTGCTATTACTATCGGAACTGGAACTCTGCTCTGGCTGCTAAAAATTGGGGCTGATGACAAATCGGAGTGTCCCAAGTGCCATGATGTCAGTTCTTAACTGAACTCAAAGAGTATTCCTTAGCATTCACCGGTGGTATAAACAGCAGAAAGTTCTGGTTGTTCAGCCACTTCTGGTCTTTGCTCTTGTTCCAGAACTTGTGTTTTGCATGCAAATCTATTTTACAGACATGACTTTGTATGCAGACTGCTGGTTCCTCGCATCTCAGGCAGATGCACTCTGACTTCGAAGGAAACACCTCTAATTAGTTGCCTTTTATGACATGCTTGTTGGGGGGGGGGGGGGGGAATAGATCTTTTTTCTTGCCCTCAAAACTGGGTCCCCGGAAAGCCACATGAGGAGGCCCAAGAGTGACAACCATGACAGAAAGGAAGCCACATACAGAAGAAAAGGTAGGCGGTTAAACCAGCTGGACATATGATGAGCACAACGCATGCTGCTGCACCATATGATCCACAACTCTTAATAAGTTTTCTGCCTGTCTTCTGCCAGACTTACACTTTCCTTAGGCTGAATTCCCACAGATCAGACCATCTACGAACTCTAATGTCCTTCATGATTCCTCATAGGTTGCACTGCACACTTTGCTCTTGAGGCCAGGTGTCTCTTCAAAGTTCTAAGCAGAGTGGGCAGGTCTGTAGAATGTGCTCAGGTGTTTATGGTCCTGTTAACAGGCACACTGTGGGGACGGCACAATCTTGACTTTGTGCATGTGGATCGAGAGAACAGAAACATAAGACGAGACAATGACACACACAGGATACTTACCGTCAGACCAGATCTGTTAATGAATTTATTGATCATGGGTATAATCTGCCCCATTTTGCCCTCATACTTTAGCCTGCTAGACTCCTGGTGCCACCCCCTCAGTGACAGCAGGCGAGTATTCAGCGTCTCAACAGCCTCCTGTAAGTGGTGGAGATAAAGAAAAAAGCATCTTACATCTTTGCAAATCTCATCTCATATAAAACAAAATGAGGCGCTGTGACAAAGCAATTAGGACATTTGCCTTGTTCTCTTAAGGCTGTGGATTACATTTTTGAAATCTAGGCGTCAATCCATCAGTTCATGTGTTTTGGATATCCTTGAGGGCTATTACTGAAACTATGTAGTTCACGCTTTATACAATGTCCTCGTGGGTGACCAGCCACTCTGCTGAGTAACTGAGCCATACAGGAAAAGATCTGGTAAAATGAAGTTAATCCTCTTGTCTTAAGTGAATATTTCACAGCTAAATTTGAGTGCTTGATTTTCTTAACAATATATTGTAAGAATGAATGGCCACTAACTGATTGCCACGATATTAGCCAGCAGCTCTAGTTAACTGTTTGGGGGGGGGGGGGGGGGGGGGCTGCATCCAGAGTTCATTCAATATGAAGTGGATGGGATATGATGTGAGCTGCACATAACAGCTAAGGATAGGACGAATCAGTGTGAGTTGTTGAAGGCTCATGCTCCATTGGGGGTTAAAGGGCAGAAAAAAAGAAGTACCAAACTTGCTATTCAAGGAGGAATTGTGGGTATCACCGAGGACAGTGTCATTAAAGTTCACTATCTGTTGGGAATATTGCATACACACAAGCGCAGCCATTTCAATGATTCTAACTAGTCAACTTTTTCATAGATGCACTTGCTAGATGAAAGGAAAACACCATGTTCACTACTAGCAAATATTATCAAAAAGGGGGGGGAAAAAAGATGGGAGGTGAAAACATGTTTGCAGAATGCCTCATGAAACTTTAATAAGGGCAGCTTTCTGGTTGTAGATGCCAGATGGAAAAAGGAGATAAGGAAAAACTAGGGAAAGGATGGCAGAAAGGGAGATAAGAAGTTTAAAGGGACATGGGATACTATAAGCAGAATGGCAGCAAAAAGACATCACTTGTGAATGTCTTCTGTTAACACTGAGGAAGTAGATATAGATACATATTCGCTCGTGAGCTGAAAGAAAGAGTTTGAAATTAAACCCAAAACATTCACTGCACAATGCAAGCGACTGAACCAATTCGCCGCAGAGATCAACAGCAGCTGCAACTGATAATGAATTTTTAGTGCGTTGTTCCAATTTTATTCCACCACAATCTGGTTGAGATAGTAAAAAACCTGAAGCTTGATTTAGAAACAAAAAAAAGTTTACACTATTATATCTATACTGAATATGTATGTGTGTGTGTGTGTATACATACATACATAAATATATATATATGTATATATATATTTCTTTTTTAATACATTGTTCTATTTATTAAAAATATTCCTTTTTATAACCTAAAATATGGCATTCCGGTCAGTGTGATGGATAAGTAGTCTGCTGCTTTTAGTCATGGCAAGTTTCTGCATCTGACAATAGTTCACCTTTGCATGTTCCCCCGCATGTAGACAAAGGATATAGTTCCATCCACAACCTACTGAGTTGAGTACATGGTGTGACACTGAGCTGCCGATTTCATTTGGACTGTGCCCACCGTGGCTGGTGTTGTGAACTGCAGATTCAGAAGACTAGCGCGTAGCCTGTTGCTAAAGAACTGATGGTGCCTTATGTGATTAACTGCATTTCTATTGTCGGACTGTTTGTGTTGATACTTTTGACATTGCCTTATGCATTCAATTGTTACCTATGCGATTAGAATTGCTGAGACTGCAATCTGTATAAAACTGTCTCACAAGGAACAGTGATCAACATTTTATGGGATTCTAGTTGGCATAGGAACAGAGCAACTATGGGGTGACTTATTTGCTATGAAGTTGGAACTGCAATCACCTCATTCTTAATATTATGTAATTGTTGAAAATAGCTTTTTCATTCAGTCTGAATATCTATCTGTGTAAAATTGGTATGATCACACAGGTGCTAGCACCCTTTTATTCTTTAAACCAAGATATGCTTGTACTACTACCATTAGCTTCTAGTGGCTTATTGTACTATCAGGACAATGCTTATCAACAGTTAGGCAATAGCTTTTTTTTTATACAAACAATGTTGCTTTCAACCCTCTGGGTTAGGGCATAGTGTCCACTGCATTTTCAATGTATATTTTTCTATTTTAGATATTTTCAGGACAGAGAAGTAAAAACTGTATACACGAGGGACATGAATGGTCGTAGACCACGAGGCAGACCAAGAAGACAATGGAGAGATACAATCAAACATGCAAACACTTGGTAAATGGAAAGAAAAGGCCAACCAGAGAAAGGGAATGGAGGCGGGTGAAATCTGCAGCAATGAACCTCAAGAGCTTGGAAAGCGGATGATGATGAAGAAGATAGATAGGCCTTTTTTTTCTGATAGTATACAATACCGCCAGCAAGAGGTGTCATTTTGGTGCTACTGTAACAGACACTATTTGGTGAGTACTTGCACTTTTAATAGACACTACGTAGCAGTTATGTAGAAAAAGCCTGTTCGGTAATTTTTGCAATTTACTTCCAAAATAATGCACAGTCAGGTGGAAATCCTAAGTAAATATTCAATGTCAGTGATTAAAGTCTTGATGTTGGCTGCATACTGGGGGTGAAAAGAGGAGGGGGGGGGGGCACAGAAACACATGAAATGCTATTCAAGTTTAATATCCACAAATATTGCCAATACCCATGTCAACTGTACACTGTTTGCTGACAGTGCTAATGTTTTTTCCTCCTCCTGTTTGTATATCTTTATCATCTCTAAATTAAATAAACATTCTAAAAGTAAAGTCACTCCTTTTGTCTGTTGCTCTGTGACATTTGTTTCTAATGTTGTGTCGTCAAATGAATAGCTTGTATGATTATTAGATTATTCTAGTGAACTACAGGCAAAGATTAAACAATAAATAACAAGAGCAGGCATATGAGATGTTAATTTATCTCAAGACAGAATAATGTATGCCAGATCACTTTACATATTAGCAAAGATTAACTACACAGTATCAATACTATAACAGAAAGTAGATTAAAAATATATTAAATGTGATAATCTATAGACTATACTTTAGTCTTTCAAAATTAATACATATGCTATGCGATATTTTATAACAAAGCATAACTGACATAGACAAAAATATAAATTACTAAAATAGAAAAAAACTATATATATTCCAAGTATAACCTGGATGGGTCGAACATTATATTTAATTACTACAACTGTGTTTACTTTATTTAGGATTAAATATTAATATTAAATTAACAAAATTGTTGGCTATCCTCCGAACTTCGAGCACAAAAGATGGCAGCCACAAAATATCCTTTCGAGCCTCAGTCACGTGACTTAATTTTCAGTTTTCCGGCGACTACCGCCCCGAGTCCTCCACGTAAGGACTCATGAGCAAAGCTGCAGGAGATGCTGAAGCTGCTGCTCGTGGGTCCTAGCCATCTAGTTTAGCCCCAATCCACGTCGCGTCAGCAGCGTGGGGGTCTCGTGGCGGTGGTGGTAGTCTTCGGAAAACCGTGTATTAAGTCACGTGACTGAGGCTCGAAAGGATATTTTGCGTCAGCCATCTTTTGTGCCCGAAGTTCAGAGGATAGTCAAATATTTAATACTTCTTTGGTTAAGGACAATGTAGTCCACAAATTCACAATTAAAACGTATATCATACCATATGACCAGTGTGAGTGACTCTCAAGTCTTCTACTTAAGCATTAAACAAGATCAATAAATGAATATTACCATTACGAGGTATTATAATTTTAATCACTTTTAGTTTAGGTCTTGAAACAGTTGTCAGTTGTAAAACACTAAACACTCCACTGAACTGTGTGCTCAAAACTAGGCCAGGGATCTAGAGAATGGGCCTGTTAGTTGTTACATGTTGATAATGTTCACTGACAATCACAACAGCATTATTCAATAACTTTTTTCAGCTACACAAACAAACCTATTATTATTATTGTATTATGTTATGTGATGTATAATTCTACGACTGATATGGACAGATATGAATAACGGCAATTTGCAGCAAACTGTAAATTATTTCATAGAAGAGAATTTAAATGTAATTTTTATTTCGGCTTAGAAAAAAAAAATTATTTTTAATGTATTAGTTTGTTACTTCATAATCAAATAATCATTTCTTTCAAATCATTTCTAGGAAATTTATAGGAAATATCGGATTATACTTATTTATACTCAGAGTACAACGATTTTATTCTCTGTTCATTCATTGCACAAACTACAAACATACCGAAGATTGTTATTAATATTATTAAATAAATCTAGCTACAATACAGTTATGGCATAATATTGTGTTTATTATGCTACAAAACAGCAAGTTTACTTCTTTACTGACAACTACATACTGCAAATATTTTATATTCTCTAATTAACATTTATTCAAACATCGTAGTGAGACAAGACAATTGTCTGACATCATATAGGTTTATACACTGAACGAGTCACATGGAGAGACTACCGCAGTCTTTGTGAGAATTTCTTTATCGAAAACATTAGTTACACACTAACCAAATGTTTTCCTTTAACACACACTACTTACATGATAACTTGTATCTACGTCCGATGTCATTTTGAGATTGGAAAGCGTTGGAAAAGCGGCAGAGAAGAAACAGGCGAGGATTCTACGTCCGAACGTGCGCTCACTGAGGCCGGCTAACCAGGACAAACTCGATACAGCCGGATCGGTTAGGTTCTGGCGCCTTCTGCTCAGGGTTGCCACACTTCTGAGGGCCGCGGGAGGCATGCGGGCCGCGAGGGGGGCCATACGGTGCCTTCTGCTAGCCTTGTCACACTTCTGAGGGCCGCGGGAGGCATGGGGTCCGGGAGGGCGGCCCTCCTGGTGCCTTCTGCTAGCCTTGCCACACTTATGACGGCCGCGAGAGGCATTGGGGGCCGCTAGGGGGGGGGGCGGCCCTCCGGTGCCTTCTGCTAGCCTTGCCACACTTCTGAGGGCTGCGGAAGGCATGCGGGCCGCGAGAGGGGGCCCTTCCGGGCCTTCTGCTAGCCTTGCC